GGGGAGAATTCCGCCCCAAGGTAGGTACAGGTTACAGGGGGCCTTATCTCGCCCCGTTTCGTCCCGTTGATTATTATTATTATCATTTTTAGGAATTCTATATTTTTAAACCCCCTTATTTGATTCCTACTATTTTTAAATATATTTTTCTCTTTTTTATTTTTAACCACATATTCTTTAACAAAATAATAATACACGTAAATCTAAATTTTTTTAATCACATATTCCCCACCAATCTACTATTTTAAAACAATCGAGTTGGGCGTACAGAATCCCAACTCATAGACCTCTTACAAAGGTCTCATACATGGGCGGGTTGGAATTTTTTTTGTCATTTTTTATTACATCAGGTCCGGTAGTGGGGCCAACCCTTTGTGAGACTTTTGGTTTTCTTGTGTAAGAACAATTCTGTATACATTCTAAAATGCCTTATTATGAAATAATAGGACTCTAACAAACGCTAAATAGAAAAACTCTATGAAATTTTATTAATTCTAATAAAAAATGATAACTAAAATTATTTAAGGAATATGATAAATATTGAAAACCTTAATTTACCAAATATATTTGAATAATTGAACTTTAAAAATAAATAAATTAATTAAAAAGTTTAATAATTATATTATCATTTCACTTGAATGAATGGGGCATTAAAATGAATTATGAAAAACTTTTTAAAAAAATGTAAATGGGTACGTAAACGGGGCAACCACCCCAATTCGCCTTAATTGGATGTAAAATCAGTCGTAAGTGTGCAGCTCCACCTTTTCAGGCTCACTATTTCAATCTATTATCAAGTTATTAAGAGAAAAAGAAAAATATAGTTTAAAAAAATTTATAGACGATTTCTTAGTTTTCTACTATGCTCCTGTTTAATGTACTTGTTATCAAAAAATACAAACTACCATTCAATATGGCGTTATAGTAGGAACAATATAAGTGAAATTAATTGTTCCAACTACATTAATTAAATTTTCGTAATATGCGTGAAAATTGAAATAAGCATATCTTTGTGGGACGAATGGAGCACAATTTTGTTGCTTGTGCAAAACATGCATGTGAGTTTTATGTAAAAGTTTCATAATTATATTGTATAAATACATAGACAATACAACAGTTAAATATTTATTTCAAGTAGAATTACAATGTATCAATTCCCAAATTTTATATCCTTTCATGCATTTCAAAATTAAGAGCTTCCATAATTGACACAACTCGACAATGCTTTAAATAGTCAAAATCGAACATAGATAACGAAGCTCTCGTTTGGCCCCCATTCTTTTCAAATTTTAATAGTTAAAATAGTTTGTTTTTTTTAAATGTATGGTTGAAAAAGAATGAAATCTTTTTTATTTGCGTGTAATATTATTTTATGAAAGATTATATGGTTGAAAATAAGAGAGAAAATGAATGAAAAGAAGAATGGGTGCTAAATAACCAGCATGCACGAAGAAGATGCAGAAAGACTTCCCAACAAAGGAATGTTATGTAGATGCAAGGGTAGGCTAATTATTGCCCCCTGGGGCACATCCCAACTGACAAAAGTTTTTCAAGACGGGCAACTCAGAGGTCGCAGGTTCGATTCATGGGGCTCTTGGAAGGCAGGATATTTCTTGGAAGGCAAGAGTACTCTTGGAAGACAAAGTGCATATATAGGTTTGACTCGCTCAACACTTTGGCAATTCAATTGGGAGGGAGTTTAGGGCACAACCTGGGGTTTAAATGGTCTGCGTGAAAAGGGGCTGGATCGTAGGCCCCAGGATTAGTCGTTGTAAAACGGACACCTGGGTATCAAAAAAAAAAAGGTAGGCTAATTATTTGTTTGATATTGTACACTTCTGATGAAAAATCGACAACAGCTAATTACCACAACAAGAAAGACGTTCATGTTACATTTTAAAAAATCATAATACACTTCTAAACCCGCAAAATCTTTATGGGCAAATACAAATTTGGCTCCAGTATGAGAACACAATTGCTTGTTTGTTCATCAATTGTACTGTCCAATATTTGAGTACATACCAAACAATGCTTAAATGTATTTTACTCCAACACCTGCTTTACAGCTCAAATCGGAACATCTGTTCTGCACAATTATGTATACAAGAATAAAAAACAACAGATATCCTTTGAAATGTGTAATTCCAAAATGTAAATAGAACATTTCTTTAGGCATTAGACGTATTCTTGAAATAGAAGCTGCTGCTGCAGCATCAGCATACAGAAGACCAAAATTATATGATTGATCGGTAAGATAATCTACGCAACAAAACGAATTTGAGATGAAAAATCTCTTAATGAATCGAGGATGATAATAACAAAATTTTAGTAAGCAATGTGGGATTTCCACCATCTCAATTTCAAATACCATAGTACAAAGATTCCTCAACGTCCAAGTATAATTCATCCTTGTTTACTAAAATCATATATACCAAGGAAAAATCTGGATAAAAATGGGATGACACCAAAACTAGATATACTGGGGACAAATTTATCAGAATAATTTCTTTAAAACTGTTAGGATTTTTCCTCTCTTTTAATGCTTGATCAATTCAGATTTACAGCATAAGAAAACAAGACACAGACTTGACAGGACATAAACCCAGCAAAGAATCAGATTTTGACACAAGAATTTGATATTTTCTGGAACAAATTTCTTCAACCACTGCAGGGAATTTTTCGCCCAGTCAATCTACCATTTAACAGAACATTACAGAGTGTTTATTTGCACAAAACACTAGCACTCATCACTCAAAAAACGAGACACTGCCAGAAAACTTTCAGAAAGTTACAAAGAGGTGTTGAAGAGACTTTTTTGCTCACTATCTTTCCAGAAAATCTGTTAGAATCTAAGAGGCTCCAACTGATTTTCTAACTCATTAAACTGATTTCTAACTAAAGAGTTTAGCCAAACGAATCAAGAGTTAAACAATTTCTTTACAATCTCCACCTTTGAGTCTTGATGAGTGTTGTTAAACTGAGATTGACTAAAAAACACTTTAAGAACACCCTGCATGGTTGAACATCCAGCTCTAATCTTCAGCCATCCAATGCCCCATGGATCTTGCTAACTGGAACTACTTTTGGAGAGCAAATCAGCCCTTCAGCAGGATCAACATCAGTGGCAACCTTCACCACTTCAACTTCCCTCTTGGAAATTATATCTTGCACACAAAAGATTTCAACTTTCTCCTGCTTGTTACACTTTGGCCAATCAGAACTTCTTCTAACTTCAGCTTCCTCACCCGCATTTTTCACTTGCATCCCATTATGCAGATTTCCAGCTCCACCATTTTGGTCAGTCTCCTGGTGATTTTCCTGTGATGAGTACTTCAAATCCGAACAAATATATCCAAGATCAGCTTTGGTTTTTTGAGTGACAGATGCAAACTTAAACTTGTGTGCTTTTCCAAACTCTAGTAACCCTTTGGCATTCTTGTGTCCAAGCTTTCCATGCCACAACACATCATGATCTTCCTTGCTTTCAAAAATAGTAGCTTCAGCATTGACAGTTGTGCCTTGCAAAATATACAGACCCTTTTGTAACAGACCTTTCATCACAACCAAAGATCCCTTCATAACCTCGAGTGCTCCACCTTGAGCCTTGTAGATGCAACCAGATTCATCCATAGTGCCAAGTGAGATAAAATTCCTCTTAAGGCTTGGTATATGTCTTACACCACTCAAGATCAAAGTGTTACCATCCCACATTTTCAGCTTAAGAGCTCCAACACCCACTATATCACAACTATAATTATTTCCCAGCAAAGCTTTACTCCCATGATCCGGTTTGTACTCCAAGAAAAGGTCTTGTCTGGGTGTCATATGAAATGTGCACCTAGAATCCATAATCCATTCATCCTTAGTGTCTAAACGTGTCACAAATATAACATCAGCAGTTTCATAACCATCCAAGAAATTAGCCAAGTCTCCATTGTTGTGATTTTCTTGCTTTTGTCCTTTGTTATTTCTTTGAGGACATTCATTTCTAAAATGTCCTTCTTTGTTGCAAACCCAACAAACCTTCTTATCTCTAGTTTTAGATATAGACTTGCCTCTTTTCTGACCTCGATTATCTCTCTGATCATTCCTGTCTTGCACAATCAAAGCATCTCCATAAGGCTTTGGTTGCTCTCCATTAGTCCTCAAATCTAATTCTTTAGAGTAAGCTGCACTTATAACCTCTTCTAAAGTTAGACTCTTCTTCCCATACTTGAGAGTGTCTCTTAGTTGTTCATAGAGCTTTGGTAAAGAGTTCAACAGGAAGATGGTTTGATCTTCCTCTTCTATCTTGATGTCAAGATTTTCAAGATCTGCAACCAGCTTGGTGAATTCATCTACATTCTCATCAATGGATTTCATATCGTCCATTCTAAAGCTGTAAAACCTCTGTTTCAAGTAAATTCCATTTGGTAGAGCCTTGGTCTTGTAAAGCTCTTCCAATTTGCTCCGCATCTCAGTCGCCGTCTTTTCTTTAATCACTTTTCTAAGAATTTGATCACTTAGACTCAGAACAATAATGTTCTTGGCTTTCTTTAACACCTCTGCCTTCTTTGCACATGTGAGTTCTTCAAGCATCTCAGATTCATCCTTGAGAGCTTTATCCAATCCAAGATTTCCCAAGTGTGCTTTCATCTTAACCTGCCATGAACTAAAGTCGCCCTTCCCATCGAACTTTTCAATTTCCAACCTTGAATAAGACATGTTGAGTTGAACTTCTAGCCAACAAGTCGGTTTCCAAAGATCTCAATCAAGAACCTAGAAGAATACTCAGTTTATGAAGCCCAAGAACAATCAGGCTCTGATACCACTGTTAGGATTTTTCCTCTCTTCAATGCTTGATCAATTCAAATTTACAACATAAGAAAATAAGACATGAACTTGGCAAAATATAAACCCAGCAAAGAATCAAATTTTGATACAAGAATTTGATATTTTCTGGAACAAATTTCTTCAACCATTGCAGAGAATTTCCCCCCAATCAATCTACCATTTAATAGAATATTACAGAGTGTTTATTTGGACAAATCACTAACACTCATCACTCAAAAAACAAGACACTGCCAAAAAACTTTCAGAAAATTACAAAGAGGTGTTGCAGAGACTCAGATAACGTGATTCAATTTGTAAAGTCATTCCAACATCATGTGGTTATGATGAGATAAACCTACCATCTACATCTTTATCTATATAAATAGTTATATGTATATGTACCCATAAGCCCATTTCAATTTCTGCTTGCCTAGAGATAGAGGCAGGAAATAGCAAGAATGGTGGTGAAGGTATATGGTCCCAACTATGCTTCCCCCAAGTGCGTGATTGTATGTCTTATCGAGAGGGGTTCCAATTTCAAGTTTGTCTCAATTGATGTCTTCAAAGGTGAGAATAAAACACCTGACTATCTCCAGTTGCAGCTTCATTAATTCAACTGGTATATTAGGATTTCTATCTATATTTGCTCAATCAATTTATTTTATTATTTTGATTTGCAAACTAGCAGCCTTTCGGGCATGTTCCTGTCATACAAGATGGAGATTACACTCTTTTTGGTAATCAAATTAAAAAACTTCATCGAAAATTCCCTTGCCTTTCTTGATTGGACAAATAAATTCTTTCTTTATTTTTTGAGCAGGAGGGATGAATTTAGTTGTTTGAACTTGCAGAATCCAGGGCTATCATGAGGTACTATGCGGAAAAATACAGGCCTCGGGACTGAATTATTGGGAAAGACAGTGGAGGAAAAAGGTCAAACAGGGTAATGGCTAGAAGTCGAAGCACACGAATTCAGCCCACCAGTTCAAAATTTAGTAATTCATGTAATGTTTACCTCCAAACTAGGGATTACAGCTGTAGCGATTTTTCCCCTCTTCAAGCAATGATCAATTCAGATTTACACTCTTTAAATGAAAACACAGCAATTGGCAAATTCTGTAAACCATAAACTGAAGAAAGAAATCAGATTAAAGACACAAGAATTTCATGTTTTTTGGAGACAAATTCATCAACCACTACAGGAAATTTTTACCCCCAGTAAATCTACGATTTAACAGAATATTACACAGTGTTTATTTCCACACAACACTAGCACTCATCACTCAAAAACGAGACACTGCCAAGAAACTCTCAGAAAGTTACAAAGATGTGTTGCAGAGGCATTTTCTCTTACTATCTTTCTTTCTCTAACTACAGAAAACCATCCCTCTTGCTCACACATTCACGTATCAGCCCCTCTATCCTATTTATAGGCATGGGACTTGTAGAGATATACAAAGAAATGTATGTAAGACTCAATTAAAACTAATACTAGAAAACTTGTTAGAATCTAAGGCTCCTAACTGATTTTCTAACTCACTAACTAATCTCCTAACTAATGAGTTTAATAACCAAATCAAGAATCAATATTTTCTCTACAATCTCCACCTTTGAGTCTTGATGAGTGTTGTTAAACTGAGATTGACTAAAAAACACTTTAAGAACACCCTGCATGGTTGAACATCCAGCTCTAATCTTCAGCCATCCAATGCCCCATGGATCTTGCTAATTGGAACTACTTTTGGTGAGCAAATTAGCCCTTCAGCAGGATCAACATCAGTGGCAACCTTCACCACTTCAACTTCCCTCTTGGAAATTATATCTTGCACACAAAAGATTTCAACTTTCTCCTGCTTGTTACACTTTGGCCAATCAGAACTTCTTCTAACTTCAGCTTCCTCACCCGCATTTTTCACTTGCATCCCATTATGCAGATTTCCAGCTCCACCATTTTGGTCAGTCTCCTGGTGATTTTCCTGTGATGAGTACTTCAAATCCGAACAAATATATCCAAGATCAGCTTTGGTTTTTTGAGTGACAGATGCAAACTTAAACTTGTGTGCTTTTCCAAACTCTAGTAACCCTTTGGCATTCTTGTGTCCAAGCTTTCCATGCCACAACACATCATGATCTTCCTTGCTTTCAAAAATAGTAGCTTCAGCATTGACAGTTGTGCCTTGCAAAATATACAGACCCTTTTGTAACAGACCTTTCATCACAACCAAAGATCCCTTCATAACTTCGAGTGCTCCACCTTGAGCCTTATAGATGCAACCAGATTCATCCATAGTGCCAAGTGAGATAAAATTCCTCTTAAGGCTTGGTATATGTCTTACACCACTCAAGATCAAAGTGTTACCATCCCACATTTTCAGCTTAAGAGCTCCAACACCCACTATATCACAACTATAATTATTTCCCAGCAAAGCTTTACTCCCATGATCCGGTTTGTACTCCAAGAAAAGGTCTTGTCTGGGTGTCATATGAAATGTGCACCTAGAATCCATAATCCATTCATCCTTAGTGTCTAAACGTGTCACAAATATAACATCAGCAGTTTCATAACCATCCAAGAAATTAGCCAAGTCTCCATTGTTGTGATTTTCTTGCTTTTGTCCTTTGTTATTTCTTTGAGGACATTCATTTCTAAAATGTCCTTCTTTGTTGCAAACCCAACAAACCTTCTTATCTCTAGTTTTAGATATAGACTTGCCTCTTTTCTGACCTCGATTATCTCTCTGATCATTCCTGTCTTGCACAATCAAAGCATCTCCATAAGGCTTTGGTTGCTCTCCATTAGTCCTCAAATCTAATTCTTTAGAGTAAGCTGCACTTATAACCTCTTCTAAAGTTAGACTCTTCTTCCCATACTTGAGAGTGTCTCTTAGTTGTTCATAGAGCTTTGGTAAAGAGTTCAACAGGAAGATGGTTTGATCTTCCTCTTCTATCTTGATGTCAAGATTTTCAAGATCTGCAACCAGCTTGGTGAATTCATCTACATTCTCATCAATGGATTTCATATCGTCCATTCTAAAGCTGTAAAACCTCTGTTTCAAGTAAATTCCATTTGGTAGAGCCTTGGTCTTGTAAAGCTCTTCCAATTTGCTCCGCATCTCAGTCGCCGTCTTTTCTTTAATCACTTTTCTAAGAATTTGATCACTTAGACTCAGAACAATAATGTTCTTGGCTTTCTTTAACACCTCTGCCTTCTTTGCACATGTGAGTTCTTCAAGCATCTCAGATTCATCCTTGAGAGCTTTATCCAATCCAAGATTTCCCAAGTGTGCTTTCATCTTAACCTGCCATGAACTAAAGTCGCCCTTCCCATCGAACTTTTCAATTTCCAACCTTGAATAAGACATGTTGAGTTGAACTTCTAGCCAACAAGTCGGTTTCCAAAGATCTCAATCAAGAACCTAGAAGAATACTCAGTTTATGAAGCCCAAGAACAATCAGGCTCTGATACCACTGTTAGGATTTTTCCTCTCTTCAATGCTTGATCAATTCAAATTTACAACATAAGAAAATAAGACATGAACTTGGCAAAATATAAACCCAGCAAAGAATCAAATTTTGATACAAGAATTTGATATTTTCTGGAACAAATTTCTTCAACCATTGCAGAGAATTTCCCCCCAATCAATCTACCATTTAATAGAATATTACAGAGTGTTTATTTGGACAAATCACTAACACTCATCACTCAAAAAACAAGACACTGCCAAAAAACTTTCAGAAAATTACAAAGAGGTGTTGCAGAGACTCTTTTTTTCTAACTCACTAACTAATTTCCTAACTAATGAGTTTAATAATCAAATCAAAAATCAATATTTTCTCTACAAAAACCTTAATTTATTAACTGTACCAAGGTTGATATAATCCCCAACTAAACATATACTGCCAAAAAATAAAAATTGTATCAATCAGAAGAAGATTATGCTTGATGCAACACAATTGATCCATTGAGAATTTTACTAATTCATTAAATTACCCCAATTTTTTACATCTCAAATTGCATAGATCCACTGGTTAAGCAAGTAACCAATTCCAACAGCGCTAAAACTAAGCAAAAGTACCAAAATATACCACCAAATTCGATTACTAGATGTCTAAGCCCTTTCACCCCTAATCCTCCTAGCCAACTGGATATCCTTGGGCATAATAGTAACTCTCTTAGCATGAATAGCACAGAGATTGGTATCCTCAAAAAGTCCAACCAAGTAAGCTTCGGCAGCCTCTTGTAGAGCCGCCACGGCAGAACTCTGGAACCTAAGGTCCGTCTTGAAATCCTGAGCAATCTCCCTAACAAGCCTCTGGAATGGCAATTTCCTTATCAATAGCTCAGTGCTTTTCTGGTACTTCCTGATTTCCCTCAGTGCCACCGTACCCGGGCGGAATCGGTGAGGCTTTTTCACTCCTCCGGTTGCAGGGGCCGACTTCCGTGCCGCCTTTGTTGCCAGCTGCTTCCTGGGTGCTTTGCCACCGGTTGATTTCCTGGCTGTCTGCTTTGTACGCGCCATCGATGAAGATTTTTTATGCTAAATGATAATGGAGAAGTTTCGAAAAAAAATTGTGTGTGATGATTAGTGGTGGGATTGAATGGGGATTTATAGCGGTTTTGGGTGTAATGTGAAGAGCGGGAGGATTTCAAAATTTCGAGGTTTCTGGGAGCGAGATTGTGGGAGATTTTGGACCGTTGGATTAACTGTCATTTCACCATAGGATTCCTTAGGAGTTTGATTGACGAGGATCGCATCCGAGTATAATGTGCCGAGAAAGTATTTTAACGGTGTATTGAATTGTTATTGACGGATAGGATTGATTGGAGAGGACTTACGTAGATCACTCTCTGAATCAACGTTGTGCTCATCCTTCCCTGAATTATGCTACATGTACAATTAAGTTTGATACCATCATATTCATCCATTTCAAAAATTAATTTTTAATTCAATGGCTCGGATTTTGACAAAACCAATATTGTCAACTTATTATTGTCAAGCATAATTGTACAAATAGATAAATTCTCCATCCCTTTTCCATATTTTAGTAGGGTAATTAGAACATAAAGGCCTTGCATTTCACTATTATTATGGGAAAATGTTTTTATCTTTCATTTTTCGACATTTTCTCCCTTATTTTTATATTTAATTGCATAAATGTCATTTTCATCCATTATTTTCAATTAAAGGTTGTGAAATGACAAATATACTCTTATATTTAAATAAAACAAAAAACAAAGAGAAAGAACTAATTGCGATCATAATCCGAATTTTTTTTTTAAATTGCAAACGAGTTCCAAATAAATTTTTAATATGTAATTAGCACACAAAAAGTGTATCAACTCAAAAAACGGATAAGTTTCCCTAGTCAAGGTTTAATAGCGAAATCATGGATTGGACAGGTCAACTTGGAAGAAGGAGGAGTAATTTAAAATCAAGTATCCAGAACTCTTCGATTAGTCAAGATAATTTCGATAACGAAAATATTATAGGAGGGGAGATTGTAAAGTCTCGAAAATTTTCATATAATCGAATTAATTATTTTATATGCCATATTTTAAATTTTGGAAGGTTGGGAAACAAAAGTGATATATGTATTAATACAATTTTATTTTCGCCAAATATTTAGATTTCGATAAGGCAAAGATAAGTAAATCAATATGAGGCTCATTGAATAGCTCGTAATTAATAATGGATATTAGGCTCGAGAAAAAATTAATTTGAATAAACGAAACTTAAGTTATTAAAGTTTAAAGATTTGTCACTAACTAGTATTTGATTGTTAAATTTTATTATGAATTTTAAAAAGCTTGGTAGCCACGTGCGTATCTAGATAAAATTAAAGCATTTTTTTGTTTGAGTATGATAACTTTTGTTATAATTCAATTAGAATTTTATATTGTTTTGCTGTTGCATTAGATGACCTACTTTCAATAGATTTAATCTCTCTCACACACACACACAACTCGGTGAAGTCGGAATATTGTCACCACAAAATCATTATACATATATGACGAGAACCAAATTTTGGCACACGTATTTTCAAATTAGAATCCACATCAAATAATCATTATTTTCAGCCTACACATACGAGTGATATGAGAAAAAGATTTTGAAATTCATTAAAAAAAACCGTCGATCTATCGAGGTAGGATAACGAGGTGTAATTACTTTTATCCGGTTTAAATTATTTTTTCGTGTTTTTGAATTATTATACTTATGAAAGTTAAAGATATGATATGGTCATTCAATACTAAAGATATGATATATTTTGAGCTCTTACCGGTCTCTGATGATATGATGACAGTATGATATTTTTGACGCATGATTTAAATATTTTATTCGGGATTATACTATTATTTTCGTGTCCTATTGAGTATTTTCATGTACTCACCTTTTTTTTATACTACTCATAGGTTAGAACAAGTTGTTGATTGGCATGTGATGAGGTGTAGTAATTGTACCAGGATTTTATGGAACTAAATAAATTAAATTCGGTGTAACATAACTATGAATTTTATTTTAAGCATTTGTTTTAGTTTTAATATTATATGGATTTGTGATTTAGAATTTGGAACACATTTTATTTGGTTATGTTTTCCACATATTTTATTTTTATTGATGGAACTAGAAATTATATGCATTGAGCTCTTACTGATCCCTAAAATATAATGACAGTATGATATTTTTGACGAGTAATTTAAATATTTTATTTGGGATTGTACAATTATTTGTGTCCTACTGAGTATTCTCATATACTCACCATTTTTTCTTACTCTTCACAGCTTTGAAAGGGTCGTGTTAGTTGATGGGCAATGAGGTGAAATCGTGGTGCCAAGTATATGGAACTCAATAAATTAAATTTGGTGTAATGTGACTATGATTTTTATTTTTAGCATTATTTTAGATTTATTATCATGTGAATTTTGTTATTTAGGATTTGTAATATATTTTATTTGGTTACGCTTTTTATATGCTTCATTTATTATTGGTGGAACTAAAAATTTCATGCGGTGACGTTTGATTTATTTATTTAAGGGTAATTAGCACAAAACATTCCCACCTTTCAAGATTTTTGTAGAAAATGTCTCTACATTTCATTTTTTGGTAGACTTCATCCTCACTTTTACCTTTTTTTGAGCAAAACATCCTTCCGTCAACTCCCCGTTAAAATGCCCCATCAAATAAAATAAAATGGATATTTTCTTTTCAAAATGCAGGGATAAGATTGTTCAAACTAATTTGTTATTCGCTGTGGCTTCACTCCCTCCTTCTTCTTCAAATGTTCATAACTAAAAAAGTAAAGTAATATAAAAAAAAAAATTGTATAAAATTATGTAATTCAATAAATAAGAGAAAATGACACAAAGGACAGCATTTTTTATTGAAAGAATCATGGCTACTGTAATGCTTGTTGCTCAAAAAATTTTGGAATGGTATCTGAAGAGAATGAATATGCGGTTAATAAACTTGAGATGACCAACCCCTTTTCGTGCTTACGAAGGGTGTAAATAAGGGATAAAGTGAGAAATCCAATTAAAATGTGATTCTATGAATGAACAATACATAAGATAGAGAAAATGATGAAAGATGAATGGGTATTCTTCCCATTTTAGCATAAAATCGAATTGGTGGTAACAATCTCTACAAAAAACATTCCTACATTTATATTATTTTTGTCCAAAATATCCCTATCTTTGTTAAAAATCATGCAAACCGTCCCTAGTTTTGAGCTTGGTTGTTGCTGATTAGGGATGATTTGCACATTTTTTAACAAATGTATGGATGTTTTGTGCAAAAACAATATAAATATAAGGATGTTTTTCACAGAGACAATGTAAAGATAGGGATTGTTGCTACCAATTCGATTTTATGCTAAAATGGGAAGAATACGTGTTCATCTTTCATCATCTTCTCCATCTTATGCAATGTCCATTCATAGAATTACATTTTAATTGATTTTTCTCACTTTACCACTTATTTACACCCTTCTAAGTATGAAATGAGGATGGTCATCTCAAGTTTGTTAGCCACATATTTATTCTCTTCATATACCATTCCAAAAATTTTTTAGTAATCAAGAATTTCAGCAGTCATGATTCTTTTCAACCAGAAATATGGTCCTTTGTGTCATTTTCTCTTATTTATTGAATTACATAATTTTATACAATTTTTTTTTTTATATTACTTTACTTTTTTAGTTATGAACATTTGAAGAAGAAGGAGGGAGTGAAGCCACAGCGAATAACAAATTAGTTTGAACAATCTTATCCCTGCATTTTGAAAAGAAAATATCCATTTTATTTTATTTGATGGGGCATTTTAACGGGGAGTTGACGGAAGGATGTTTTGCTCAAAAAAAGGTAAAAGTGAGGATGAAGTCTACCAAAAAATGAAATGTAGAGACATTTTCTACAAAAATCTTGAAAGGTGGGAATGTTTTGTGCTAATTACCCTTAAATAAATAAATCAAACGTCACCGCATGAAATTTTTAGTTCCACCAATAATAAATGAAGCATATAAAAAGCGTAACCAAATAAAATATATTACAAATCCTAAATAACAAAATTCACATGATAATAAATCTAAAATAATGCTAAAAATAAAAATCATAGTCACATTACACCAAATTTAATTTATTGAGTTCCATATACTTGGCACCACGATTTCACCTCATTGCCCATCAACTAACACGACCCTTTCAAAGCTGTGAAGAGTAAGAAAAAATGGTGAGTATATGAGAATACTCAGTAGGACACAAATAATTGTACAATCCCAAATAAAATATTTAAATTACTCGTCAAAAATATCATACTGTCATTATATTTTAGGGATCAGTAAGAGCTCAATGCATATAATTTCTAGTTCCATCAATAAAAATAAAATATGTGGAAAACATAACCAAATAAAATGTGTTCCAAATTCTAAATCACAAATCCATATAATATTAAAACTAAAACAAATGCTTAAAATAAAATTCATAGTTATGTTACATCGAATTTAATTTATTTAGTTCCATAAAATCCTGGTACAATTACTACACCTCATCGCATGCCAATCAACAACTTGTTCTAACCTATGAGTAGTATAAAAAAAAGGTGAGTACATGAAAATACTCAATAGGACACGAAAATAATAGTATAATCCCGAATAAAATATTTAAATCATGCGTCAAAAATATCATACTGTCATCATATCATCAGAGACCGGTAAGAGCTCAAAATATATCATATCTTTAGTATTGAATGACCATATCATATCTTTAACTTTCATAAGTATAATAATTCAAAAACACGAAAAAATAATTTAAACCGGATAAAAGTAATTACACCTCGTTATCCTACCTCGATAGATCGACGGTTTTTTTTTAATGAATTTCAAAATCTTTTTCTCATATCACACGTATGTGTAGGCTGAAAATAATGATTATTTGATGTGGATTCTAATTTGAAAATACGTGTGCCAAAATTTGGTTCTCGTCATATATGTATAATGATTTTGTGGTGACAATATTCCGACTTCACCGAGTTGTGTGTGTGTGTGTGTGTGTGAGAGAGAGAGAGAGAGAGAGAGAGAGAGAGAGAGTGATTAAATCTATTGAAAGTAGGTCATCTAATGCAACAGCAAAACAATATAAAATTCTAATTGAATTATAACAAAAGTTATCATACTCAAACAAAAAAATGCTTTAATTTTATCTAGATACGCACGTGGCTACCAAGCTTTTTAAAATTCATAATAAAATTTAACAATCAAATACTAGTTAGTGACAAATCTTTAAACTTTAATAACTTAAGTTTCGTTTATTCAAATTAATTTTTTCTCGAGCCTAATATCCATTATTAATTACGAGCTATTCAATGAGCCTCATATTGATTTACTTATCTTTGCCTTATCGAAATCTAAATATTTGGCGAAAATAAAATTGTATTAATACATATATCACTTCTGTTTCCCAACCTTCCAAAATTTAAAATATGGCATATAAAATAATTAATTCGATTATATGAAAATTTTCGAGACTTTACAATCTCCCCTCCTATAATATTTTCGTTATCGAAATTATCTTGACTAATCGAAGAGTTCTGGATACTTGATTTTAAATTACTCCTCCTTCTTCCAAGTTGACCTGTCCAATCCATGATTTCGCTATTAAACCTTGACTAGGGAAACTTATCCGTTTTTTGAGTTGATACACTTTTTGTATTCAAAATCATTGTCAGGATTTCTTCATATGACAGGTGTTTTTACACCTCCAAAATTCGGTAACTTACCACATGTTTGGGATTACGAACATTTTTTCTGAGCATCAAAACATGGAACATATTATATACTGCTACTAGTTTAGGTGGTAAGTCAAGTCGGTAAGTCATACTACCAATCCTTTCAGGAATTTCGAAAGGTCTAATGAACCGTGGTTTCAACTTCCATTTCTTTTCAAATCTCAATACACCCTTCATTGGTGCTACTTTTGGAAAAACTTTCTGACCCGCTTGAAATTCTAAATCATTTCCTCTACCATAGAATAACTTTTCTGTCGATCTTGTGATGCCTCTATTCTTGCTCTAATCTTATCAACCGCCTTAACTATTCGTTCAATAATTTCAGGACCAACGATATGATATATATTGAGCTTTTACCGATCTCTAAGAATATGATGATGGTATGATATTCTTGACGCATGTTTTAAATATTTTATTCGGGATTGTACTATTATTTTTGCGACCTATTGAGTATTTTTATATACTTCTCACAGGTTAGAATATGTCGTTGATTGGCACGTGATGAGGTGCAATCATGGTACCAAGATTTTATGGAACTCAATATTTAAATATTTTATTCGGGATTGTACCATTTATTTGTTTCCTACTGAGTATTCTCATATACTCACCATTTTCCCCTACTCCTTATATGTTAGAACGTGTTATTGGTTGGTGGGCAATAAGGTGAAATCATGGTGCTAGGATTTATGGATCTCAATAAATTAAATTCGATTTAACGTGACTATGAATTTTATTTTCAACATTTATTTTAGTTTTATTAGCACGTGGATTTTGTTACTCAGGATTCGGAACATATTTTATTTGTTTATGCTTTCTATATATTTTATTTATTATTGGTGGAACTAAAAATTTAATATGGTGACGTTTTATTTATTTATTTAATTATGATATGAATAAGATATGGTGGAGGAAAATCTTTGTTATTTCCTTTTATAAATGAATATATAAAATTTTCTACATGAATTTGGGTAAAAACTGTTACATAATTTTATACATAATGAATGTCATGTTATTAAAATTTTAAATAAAACTTTTGATAACAATTTAAATATTTGAAATTTGGGTCGTTACATTTTGAACTAGTAAAATTAAGTTATATATAAAAAATATGTTGGAGTATTTAAAAAAATTTACTGTTTAAATATATAGGTTCTATAAAAATTTCGGGGTGTTACTCAAAAAAATATTTATTGTTTTTCTTATCTATTAATTTAATTAAAATTCATTCAAATTATTATATTATTTTCCTCCATTGAAAATTGAAAGATTTTGAATGTATTTAATTATAAAGAGTAGGTTTAACTTTTTAAATTTGGAGAGTCAATCTCACTTTCTAAATTAAAATATTAATTTAAAGGGTTTATAAAACATAAATTTAATAATTGACTCTTTAAAATAGAAAATTTCTTATATTTAAAGAGTTTTTAGAAGATATTACAGATTGGGTGACTTGTGACGAGAACTCCCCAATAATAGTTTGAATAGCAGTCCAAAAGGTCCCCATCTGGACTAACAACAGTGTATACCCATTTAAATAACTAGGCCTTAAAAACATGGGGGGGGGGGGGGCGGGGGGGGGAATT